CCAGCCCATTAGACAATGTCCCTCAAGGCCACCCTGTGTGATTGGCACTAGGGCTTCCAAGGGTGGAATAGAGAGGCAGACATTCAGCCTGGACAGGAGGCATGGCCACACCTGACAGGGGTCACAGCAGGAGTCAGCCAGGGTGGACAAAGCTGTCCCTGAATTTGTCACCTGCCTCCCATGTGGTTCTCATCATTTGACCCATGAATTTGTTGGACCCTCTGCCAGGAAGATTTGGGATTCCAGCTAGGTCTTACATGCCATCAGGTTGAAGGTCAGAAGTCATCTTCCCAAACCCTCCAGCACTAACCCAACCCGCTGCCTCCAGCATCACTCTGTGCTGTAGCTTTCATTGACCCCCAAATGCTGCAGGCTGTTCTTTTCGTGGGTCTCACCTCCCCTGGGTTCTGCTCCCTGAGGGCAGAGGCTCCTGTTTCTTTTCCATTGCAGTGATGTTTATGGAAAGGGAGGAGGGAGAAGGGAAGCTAGACTAAGAATAAGAGAGAGAAGACAAGGAATTCAAATCGGAAGAGAAAGAGGAGACATTACAGCTGATGCCACAGAAACAGAAAGAAAGGATCGTACTAAACTACTAAGAACAAGCACATGTAAACAAGCCGATGACCCAGGAGAAATGCATGAATCCTCAGAAACACACAGCCTTCCAAACAAACTGATGACCCAGGAGAAATGGGTGAATCCCCAGTAACACACAGCCTTCCAAACAAACCCATGACCCAAGAGAGATGGATGAATCCCCAGAAACACACAGCCTTCCAAACAAACCCATGACCCAGGAGGAATGGGTGAATTCCTAGACACTCAGCCTTCTGAGACCAAATCCTCTGTCCATAAACTAACAATGAACTACCCAAAAAGATATCAAGAAAACAATCCCATTTATAATAACATCAAAAAGAATAAAATACTTAGAAATAAATTGGACCAAAGAAGTGAAAGATTTGTACACTGCGTGTAGCAATTGGTAAAAGTTGAAGACACAAATAAATGGAAAAGTATACCATGTTCATGGATTGCAAGAATTCCTACTGTTAACATTGTCATTCTAGGCTGGGCAAAGTGGGTCATGTCTATAATCCCAGCACTCTGGGAGGCCGAGGCAGGTGGATCACTTGAGTGTAGGAGTTCAAGACCAGCCTGAACAACAGCAAGACCTACTAAAAATAGAAAAAGCAGCTGGATGTTGTGGCAGGCACCTGTAGTCCCAGCTACTTAGGAGGCTGAGGCAAGAGTATCACTTGAACCCAGAAGTTCTGTGAGCTATGATGACACCATAGCACTCTAGTCTGGGCAATAGAGTGAGACTCTGTCTCAAAAAAAATTCATTCCACCCAAAGTGATTTACAGACTCAAAGCAATCACTATCAAAATTCCAATGACATTTTTCATGGAAATAGAAAAAACAATCCTAAAATTCACATGTAACCACAAAGACCTCAAATAGCCAAAGCATTTTTGAGAAGGTAAAAAGCTGGAGGCATCACATGTCCTGATTTCAAGTTATATTCAAAGCTAGAGTAATCAAAACAGCATAGTACTGGCATAAAAACAGACATATGCCAATGGAACAGAGTAGAGAGCCAAGAAATACGCCCATGTATACAGTCAACTGGTCTTTGACAAGGTGCTGTGATTTAAGTGTCCCCTTCAAAACCTTTATTGAAACTGAATCCCCAATGTGGCGTATTAAGAGGTGGAGCCTTTAAGAGGTGACTGGGTCATGAAGGCTTCATGAATGGGTTAATCCACTCATGGATTAATGGATTGATGAGTTATGGAATTGGGTCCGCAGGGGACGGAAGCTGGTGGCTTTTTTTTTTTTTAGAGACAGAGTCTCATTTTGTCGCCCTCAGTAGAGTGCTATGGCATCAAAGCTCACAGCAACATCCAGCTCTTGGGCTTAGGTGATTCTCTTGCCTCAGTCTCCCAAGTAGCTGGGACTACAGGCACCTTCCACAACTCCCAGTTATTTTTTTGTTGCAGTTTGGCCGGGTCCAGGTTCAAATCCACCACCCTCGGTATATGGGGCCAGCACCCTACTCACTGAGCCACAGGCTCTGCCCAAGCTGGTGGCTTTTTAAGAAGAAGAGAGAGCTGAGCTGGCCCACTGAGCCCTCACCCTGTGTGTCCTGCATGGCCTCAGCCCCCAGCAGGAAGGCTCTCAACACTTTTGTATTTACATGAACAGATTTTGAGAACATTCTCCTAAGTGAAGTATCTCAAGAACAGAAAAGCATCCCATGTAGTCGGTACTAATCTGAAAATAGTAAACCACCAACTACAGGCCCACATGAGAGAAAAACACAGCTAAGTGCAAGAAGGTAGGGGATGGGGGGGGTGTGGGCTCAGTTAGTTCTCACCTATCAGGCATCTTTGCTGTGACCATCCTTGGAAGATGCAGCCTTCCACGCTAGGAGAACTGGTGAGCAGAAGCTCTGGGGACGTTTTACTTCTGCAGTTACAAGAGGTGCTTAATGTGACTTGCGTCCACCTTGTGTGATGGTATATATTAAATATTACGATTTTAATGCAGCTTTTTCTCTTATTAAAATGTGTATACATTTTTTGGCATCCTCTCTATATACAATTGTTATTTGTTGATTATACCTCAGGAAAGCTGTGGGGGGGAGTAAATTCTATAATATGCTGACCAGAAAGTATCCAGCCATTTACTATGAAAACAGAGACATGGGTGGTGCCTGTGGCTCAAAGGAGTAAGGCGCTGGCCCCATATGCTGGATACTTTCCAGACAGCCCTTGTACACACCCTGGTACACACATTTTCATTTAAAAGTTCCATGTTTCTTCCAGTAATTTTATGGGAGTTTTTTGTAAGTTTTAATCTTCTCCTCATCTGGAATTTTTCTAATACTAGTGCTCTATGAATTAGAGCACAAGTTCCAGGAACTAAGTTAAATCGTCTTAAGGAGAGGAAAGAAATACATATCTTGCTTCAGAAGTCCAGTGCCAGCCTGGGTTGCCTGCCTTCCCCTGCTGACCTGGGTACTGTCTCTGCCACCTTTAATCACATCTCACTGACCTCTCAGTCCAGCCATCTGTCAGTGCCAACTGTTCTCAATTAAGTCACCATTAGAATGTTCCAGCAGCTGGGGAAGGTGGTATGTCCCCATCCCCTGGGAGCCTATCACTTCCTGTCCAGAACTTTCCTGGCTGTTCTTAGATTAATTTTTCCATTTAAGCTGTAGAATCAACGTGTCTGTATGCAGTCGCTGCTGTATTTTATTAGGACTGAATGTACGTGCAGGACATGAGTGAGTCCAGTCTAGGCAATGGCCCTTCCTTCCTCTCATCCTCTCCTCCCCATGGCGGCCCTCCCAGCAAGCATGCCTGTTGCCCGCTCTACCTCCCTCTTTGCTTCTGTTGGGAGCAGCAAGCTGCACTGCCCAGCACTCTGCTCTGCCCAGCAGCAAAGTCGTGCACAGGAGAGGGGCCCAGCAAGCCTGGCAGAATAAGGCAATCCTGAGAGTCCAGTGTGCACCCCTGCACCCCCACTTTCTGATCTGCCTCCCTCTTTCTACAGGGTAGTGCTGGACTTGCACCTGTGTCCCCATGTACACATGGCCCAGTGGCCACCTCTGGTCAGGGTAGACCTGCAGAGCAGGGGCCTCCTCACACTCCTCCAGAACCTTAAGATCAAAGGCCTCAACTTCCTACAGCTGGGGCAGCCACCGGGCCAGGCCCTGCACCCCAGTGGTCTGTTGCTTCTGGCCCCCGCCGGCCCCCAGGTAGCTATTTTTACTGCGTGTGCTCAGTGAGGTATTTTAAATGTTTTGACATTTACAATCTGTGTTGGATACACTCGTTCTATTTAAATTATCCCCGGGCTGCAGTGACTCACAGGAATTGGTTTGTCTCCTGAGACTGAGATGAGGCCTCCTAAGTGGAGTCTAGAGCTGCCACGGGAGCAGCCAGGGTCTTTGGAGGCACCTTGGTTAGTGCCTGGAAGAGGCCCAGGGAAGGAACCTGCCAATGTTCTGTTCTGGCAACTTTCAGCACCTCTTGCGATTGCCCCAGTCTCCTGAGGCTCTCCTTAGCAGGGCTGTGCTCCAGGCACGCAGGTGAGGTGGAGCCCCACCAGCAGCAACCTGAGCCATTTCCTAGAATAGCCAAAAGCTTTTTGGAGTCTGAGCCTGACAGGGCAGCTGGGGTGTTTCAGCAGGCAGGAGGTAGCTTCTGCCTGCAGGCACAAGGGGCGACCGACAGGGGTGAGCATTTGAAACAAAGGAACGAAAAGCCCAGAGCGGGCAGGGGCCTGGCTTCAGCCCCCAGGCGGCCTCTCTATACTCGCCCCTCTCATTCCCCAACCTATGTCCTCTGATGCATGTTGTCCCTATCCTGAGCAGCAGCTCCAGCTCAGGACAGGCCTCTGCTGCCCAGGGGTTTACTTTTAAGCCTTGGCCTGGTCACCAAAGGAATTGGGCCAGGCTCAGATAGGCCAGGTTCAAATCCAGGTCTGGCTGCTTCTGCACTGGTGGTTTTGGGCAAGACCTCCAGCCTCATTTGGACTCCGTTTCGTCAGATACAGAGCAGACACGAGGACCCAGCCTTGCAGGTGGACTTAGAAGTTAGAGGTGGGCGGCGTCTCAGGTGCTAGGAGAAAGGGAGTGGGCATGGGGGGGTCTTTGCCAGCATCAGCTGTGACATCAGCATGTTCTGCCTGTGCAAAGGCTGGAAAGGGAAGCAGGGACACTCTGGGGCAGCAATCATGAACACAGCGTGTCCCCACCTGGGACCCCAGAGCTCAGGCCCTTTGTCACAGCCCAGACACTCCAGAGTCTATTTCCCGCTGTTTACAGGCTGGACCCCACGGAGGAGCTCACAGAAGTGTGAAGGAGGCTGTTAAACCTCTTCCAAGGTGGAGGGTAGGGGCAGCTGAGAACCCAGCTTAAAGATGGGTGACCTAAACCCCAGCCAGTACAGTAGGCTGCTGTCTGATGGCCCACCTCCCTCTCCCGCAGGTCAGCACCTTCATGTCCTTCGTGTTCCCCATGGTGGTCATCTCAGTCCTGAACACCATCATTGCCAACAAGCTGACCATCATGGTCCACCAGGCGGCAGAGCAGGGACGGGTGTGCACAGTTGGGGACCAGCACGGCACCTTCAGCATGTCCATCGAGCCTGGCAGGGTCCAGGCCCTGCGGCACGGTGTCCGGGTCTTACGTATGTAGCCTCTGGGCCCCTGGGGGTGGGTGGGTGGCCAGGGGTCAGCTAAGGCTGTGCCACTGCACCACCCCAAACCAGAGCAAGTTTGAAGACAGTGAGATGGCGTAGCCCAGGCCCAGGCCCAGGAGTGCTGGCTCCACAGGGGAGGGTTGCTCTTCCCTCCCTCCCTCCCTCCATTTAATCCCTCCCTCTCTCCATCTGGATGACCAGCCGTGGGAGCCTATGCTGCTAGGTCTGGGGTCCTTGCCTCTGCCTCGGGGTTGCCAGATGAAATTGCATTTCAGAAGCTCTGTGAGTAGCTCGTTAGTAGAGGCTCCAAACACCACGAACCCCATCTATCTGGATGTCCCTTTGCACTGGGAGGCTGCTGGTGTCATTGTGAGGTCAGCCTACCCTATTGAGCCTGCCTGGCCCTGTCGGGAACCAGCCCTCCTATAGCCCCTGGGCTGACAGGGACAGACCCACAACGGTGTGCTCTCCTGGGCTTCAAGGAACCCCCACCCTGCTCCCAGAAAATTTGCATGTCTGTTGTTCAGTGGGATCCAGACCTCAGTCTCCTCAGATCACATCAGCCTCAAACCAGAAGACCCTACAAGTCCCACCTTGAATTTTACATGTGAGGAAACTGAGGCTGAGAAGCTGCAGGGCCCTGGCCAGCTTTGCACAGTGACTGCAGGCAGGGACAAGTCTAGAACCTAGGGCTCCCTCATAAGCTCCACGCTGCTGGGCGCTGGGAACTTGCACTTGAGGGAGTGTTCCTTAATGGGTTTTTTGGTTGTTTTCTTTTTTAACTGTGGTAAAATACACATAGCATAACATTTATAATCTTGGCCATCTTTTTTTTTTTTTTTTTTTTTGAGACAGAGTCTCACTTTGTTGCCCTTGGTAGAGTGCTATAATGTCACAGCTCACAGCAACCTCCAGCTCTTGGGCTTAGGCAATTCTCTTACATCAGCTTCCTGAGTAGCTGGGACTACAGGCACCCACAACACCTGGCTATTTTTTGTTGCAGTTTGGCTGGGGCTGGGTTCGAACTCGCCACCCTCAGTATTTGGAGCCGGCGCCCTACTCACTGAGCCACAGACACTGCCCCAAATCTTGGCCATTTTTAAGTGCAGTTTTGTGGCACTAAGCAGGTGGGTACTGTTGAGTAGCCACCACCCCCGCCAGCTCCAGAAGGCTCTCATCTTCCCAAACCGAAGCTGCCACACTCCAAACACTGGTGCCCTACCCCTCCCCAGCCCTTGGCATCCCATCCTATTGATACTTTCTGTCCCTGGGACCTGCCTCCTCTAGGGACCTCCCTTCATGGAGCCACGCAGTATTTGTCCTTTGAGTCTGGCTTATTTCACTTGTCACAATGTCCTCAGGGTTTCTCTGTGGTTAGTGTGTGTCAGAATTTCCTTCCTTCTGAGGCTGTGTAATATTCCGTGTGTGGACACCACACTTCACTCATCCCTTCATCTGTCCATGGACATGTGGGCTGCTTCCACCTCTCAACTGTGGGGAATGGGCTGCTATGAACGTGGGTGTGCAGAGGTGTCCTCAGGAACCCAGCTCCAGTTATTCTGGGTACACACCCAGCAGGTGCAGTGCTGGGCTGTATAGAAATACTGTTTTCAGTTTTAAAGAACTGCCATCCTGTTTCCACAGCAGCAGCACCATTTTGCGTTCTGTCCAGCAGCGCACAGAGGGGCTCAGTGTCCCACGTCCTTGCCGGAACTTGCTACCTTTGGCTGTGAGGTGGTGTCACCCTCCTGAGGAGTTGAGGTGGTGTCACCTTCCTGAAGGGTTGAAGTGGTGTCTCTCTCATGGTGTCACCTGGCGTTGATTTGCATTTCTCCAATGATGAACAATGTGGAGCATCTATTCACATGCTTCTTGGCCATTTATGTCTTCTTTGGAGAAATGTCCATTTAAGTGCTTTGCCCATTTTTGAATTGAGATGTTTGTTTTTATGTTGTTGAGTTTTAGGGGTTCTTTATATAGTCTTGGTATCAACCCCTTACCAGAGAGGTGATTTGCAAATATTAACCCCCTTTCTGTGAGTTGCTTCACTCTGCTGATTGCAGCCTTTGAGGCACAAAGGTTTTTCATTTTTATATAGTTCAGTTTATCTATTTTTTTTCATTTGTGACCTGGGCTTTTGGTGTCATACCCAGGAAGTCATTGCCACATTCAGTGTTGTGAAGTTTTTCTTTCGTGTTTTCTTCTAGGAGTGTTACAGCAACAGTCTTGTGTTCCGGTCTCCCACTCATTCTGTGTTAAATTTTGTTTGTGATTTGAGGCAAGGGCTCAGAATTTTTCTTTTGCAAATGGAAGTCCAGTTTTCCCAATATCCTTTCCCCCACTGAATGGCCATGTGATGACCATGAGTACCAGGGAGAATATCTGGGCTCTCTGCTCCACTCTGCTGGTCTGCACATCAGCCTTCGTGAGGTGCCCCTTTTTACTATGTGGGAAGTGCTGAAATCAGGAGGCGTGAGACCACCAGCTGTACTCCTTTCATAAGGTCATTTTAGCAATTCAGGATCCTTTGTGATTCCATATGAATTTTAGGATGGATTTTTCTATTTCTGCAGAAAACATTATTGGGATTTGATCAGGATTACATTGAATCTGTGGATCAGTTTGGATAGTACTGACATTTTACCAATATTAAGTTTCGCAATCCATGAACATGGGCTTGCTCCCTGAATCTCCCTGAGGCATGTCTCTCTGTGTTGCAGGTGTCGTGGTCATTGCCTTTGTGGTCTGCTGGCTGCCTTACCACATCCGGCGCCTCATGTTCTGCTACATTTCAGACAAGCAGTGGACTCCGTGAGTGCCAAGAGGCTGGGCCCTGGGGGGTACTCCCCAGAACAGGAGGGGGCTGGGGTGGCGGGTGGTGCCAAGAGCCCTAGTACAGGGGCAGGGGTTCTGTGAGACCCCGAGGTGTCCCTTGGGCATCCATGAGGCTGTTAGGCAGTGGCTGTGCTATGGTGAGGCCCCAGGGAGGGCAGTGGAGAGACAGATTCAGAGCAGAACAGGTTGGAGCAGGAAAGGAAAGTTGGGCCTGAGTGTGTTGGCACCCAAGGCAACTGTCTCTGAGACTTCAAGAGATACCGGGGGTGGCTCCACTACAGGATGGAGGGTGCTACCTCAGTCCATGGCAGTTGTGGGGACCCCAAGGCCAGCCCAGGTGGGTCTCCAGGACTCAGCTTGAGTCCCACTTGTGACTATGATCTACTGTAGCAAAAGGACACCCAGCAAAGTTAGCAAAGAGAAAAGGGGCTTGGGACGAAGTCAGGGGGAGGCCAGATGCGGCTTCCACACTCCTTCCCAGGGGTTCTCTCAGGGACTGGTTACCCAGTGCCCAGCACAGAACAAAAGCCCAGAGGAGAAAGCAGGAGTTCAGCACAAACCCTCCCATTTGCACACAGGGTTTAGGAGCAGAAGTCCCTCTTATTAGGAAAGGTGGGACTTCTCCAAAATCCCAGCTCCCAGGGGCCAGCAGGGGTCAGCTCTGCCAGCTGGCCATTCTGAACAGGCAGCCAGACACAGGGGGCATGGGTTCTTCAGAGTAACATGTCACTATCAGCACAGGGAACAGAGCATACAGCCTGAAGTAAAGGTTTCGGAAACTTGAGGCTGCCACATGGTGCACTGAGCTTCCAGGTAAGGGAGTGAGATCCCTGTGTTTGGAGGCAATAAACAGGGTGAGGGAAGGTTCAGGGCTGTCCAGGAGGCTCAGAGAGGCTTCCTGCCCTAGCTGTTATGTTAGATTAGGGAACAGCCATGCCGTGAAACTTCAGATGCCCAGGACTCTAAAGACAGTCCAGGCAGCTGCCAGGAGAGGCAAGGCCCTAGGCAGAGCAGGGACAGAGCCCTAAGGAAGGCTGACACCCTATGGGAGCTCAGCCAAACCTCCAGTGGCTCGGGAGAATCCAGGCCCTGGAATTCATTATGAAATATGACAAAATTCTCAAGTAGCTTTGTAATTGGTGGCTTGGCCATCACTCAGGGGCACCCCCTGGGGTCCCAGCGTGTCCTGCCTGGGCAGGTGGATCTGATTGCCTCCCCCCACTAGGTTCCTCTATGACTTCTACCACTATTTCTACATGATGACAAACGCACTCTTCTACGTCAGCTCCACCATCAACCCCATCCTGTACAACCTCGTCTCCGCCAACTTCCGCCAGATCTTTCTGTCCACCCTGGCCTGCCTCTGCCCCGTGTGGCAGCACAGGAGGCGGCGGCCAGTGTTCTCAAGGAAGGCCAACAGCGTGTCCAGCAACCACACCTTCTCCAGCAACACCACCCGAGAGACGCTGTACTAGGACCTGGCCTGATGACGCTCAGTGTCCCCAGCCTCAGGGGGGGTCAGCTGGGGCCAGCCTGGTCTGTGGTCTGAGGCCTGGGAGCCCACACTGTGCCCCAGAGGCCTCTTTCTCTCCAGCTTTCCCCTCCTCTGCCTCTCCCCACCCCCACCCGTCTTTGAAAGCCAGAACAGGAGATTGCTCCCTCCCAGTTGCAGCCCGGCTTCTAACAAGGAGAAATTAGTGTGCAGCGACGGGCGATGTCTTTGTTCCCAGCCTAATGGATCTTTAAAGAGAAGAAAATGAAAGGCCCTCGGGCAGCTGGGCTGTTGTTGGTGAGGGCACCTCTGAGGTCCCTGCTGGTGGGAACTCAGCTGTTCTGTCCCCTCTGCCCACCCCCACCCCCCATGAAGGAAAGAGGAGAGGGCTGCTGGGCTGGTGACACATCCCAGCTCCACCTAGCAAGTTCAGGGTAAGGCCGGCCCCAGGTCCTGTAGGCACCAAGGCTTTTGGCCTTGCACCCAGGCCCTTCCAAGGAGGACAGGGCTCTGCCTTCCCCAAGGCAACTCTGAGGAAACCCCTGCTTCTGTCCTTCAGGCCTGGCCCCCTCAGTGCCCACTGCTGGGGGTGGAAAATTCCCCCCAGCACCCTGGCCCTAGGCAGCCGAGGCCCACAGAGGGGACCAGGTTCTATACACCCAGGAGGAACACAAAGGGGCTGGCCTCAACTTGCCCCACCCTGGCCTCTCCTACTCTGTCCTCACAACACCTCAGAGGTACCACGAGGGGGGCAACCTCAGCCTCTCAGGCTCAGCACAGGGGACTCCAGGTTGGTAGCACTGCTACCCCGCTGCCCAGGTGGCCTTGGATGAGCACCCTGTGTGCCCTCACCGTGGTGCAGGCTGAGGTCCAGAGCCAGGCTCCCCACCAGCTTCCGAGTGGGTGTCCCAAGAAGGTGTCTGGTCCCTGAACAAGATGCCAGGTCCCAGGGACTCTGACCACAGGTAAGCAGGGAGCCGTGCAACCAGGCACCAGCTGGCCAGCAGCATCAGTCTGAGGCAGACTCATCTGTCACTAGGCAGCAGGCAGCTGCCTGGGCCTGGGCACCAGGAAAGGGAGGTGCCTCCGTGGCCTCCAAACAGAGCAGGACCAGCTGGCTCCGAGCTCCAGAAGGTGGTTGCCTGAGGCCTGGGGAGCAGGCCCCTGAGCCTGGGAGGAAATTCAGCCCCTCTGAAAGCAGGCTATGAGTCCTGGAGCAGCATTTCCCCAGAAGGGAAGTAGGTGAGCTGCCCGTGTGGGTAGTGCAGACTTGGGACTCAGAAGACCCAGTCCTAGGCAGAGATAAGCCACTGGGTTCTCTCCAGACTCAGTTTCCCCATCTGTGAAATGGTGAGCTGAGTGCTGCCATCTCTGTGGTCACTCTGAAACCCCTCCAAGCTGCAGGATGCTTCAGTTTTTTGAGGGCAGGGTGGTGTCAGGCCGGAGTATCAAGCTTCCTGCCAACTGTCACCTCCCACAGGTGGGGTTGTCAGGCCCAGCAGCCCCCCAATGCCAGAGGATCACTGACCCCACAGAGACATGGGCAGGCCAGGAGGCCTTTCATCAACCCACATCTTCCGTTTTGGGAGGTCTGCTCTGAAAGAGGAGCTTCCCCGGCCCAAAGGAACCAGAGCTCAGCACAGCCCCAGGCCTGCTTGGTAAGCAGCTCAGAGTTTAGCCAGTTCTAAGGCCCCTGAGACTGGACACAGGTTTCTGAATGAGGCCTTGGACACGGGGTCAGATAATCTAGGCTCAATCCCTCTGTGGGGTTCTGGGATCTTGGGCCTCAGTTTCTCTGAGCCTCAGTTTCCCCATCTAAGGAATAGGCATGGCCATTGTACCCTTTGAGAGTATGACTATCCTGGAGGACCCAGGCCAGAGTGGACAGAAGGAACCCTGAGATGGACTCAGAGTCAATGCCCCTCAAGCCCAGGCCCTCGGTAGACATAGGCGGTGTCTGCCAGGTGAAGCCTATGGCTGAAACCTAAAGCCACTTTATGGTGTAATTTTTATGTCCCCATCTGTGCACTTGGTGTCTGCAGGGACATGTGTCCACATACCCTGGACGAACCCCTGTGACCTCCACATCCTGTGCTATTACCTCCTGGCCACGTCATGATGTGACTTTGGAAGCCACCCAAGTGCTATGAATGTGGCAATGGCAGAGTCCAGAGTCCCTGTGACTGCTCAGTAGTGACAGAGATGCCCCTTCCCAGTCCAAATGCCTGCAGGGGTGCACCTGTACCACCCCTGCCATGCTGCAGATGACAAGCCCCTGTGTCTCCCAATAAAAGAGACTGTGTACTCTTGACTGACCCCTATGCTAAGCGCACCCAGGCACCATCCACGTGCTCTCTCACTCCAACGGCACCAGCGCAGCAGACAAAACTCCCAAAGGTGGGGGGCCAGGACCCCTGCTCACCGTGCCTAGTATTTCCATAAGCAACAGAGGAGGAGGCCCCTGGGAGCCTCCAGGAGTGCTGGGGACAAGGAAGCAGGCTGGGGGCTGGCGGGGCTTGGGGGGCTGGTTGTGGAGGGGAAGAGGGGCAGGCTGGAGTCCCTCTGCTCTGGAGCCTGCTCTGGGTCTGAGTCTCTGGACAGGGAGCCCCTCCCTCAAGAGGTCCTTTTAACCATTCTCACTAGGCCATGGCCCTTCCCATGCTTCACACCGCTGCGTGCTCTGAAATCATACCATTTATTTGATGTTTTCTTATACCTGGGGGCTCAGGGTACCTTCCTTTGGGGGCAGTGGGATGGCAGCAGGGCTGGAAGGGGTGCGCATGGGAGTGGGGGAGACAGCTATGACCCAAATAATCCAAAAGGGGCCTGACTACACATTGCTGGAACCATCTCTATCACCCAGCTCAGAGCCCAGCCCCCAGGCTACATGCTCACCTGCCTCCCCTGTAAGGAACTAAGCCCCCTGCCCTTCCCCATCCAGCTCAGCCTGTCCTAATTCATACTACAGTGTGAGTGGCTATAGCCTCTCCTGGTGACAAAGACTCCCACAGGACAGTAGAAACACCCACCAGGTGACCCCTGCTGCTGCCCCTGCTCAGCCCAGGGACTGCAAGGGCTCTGAGGAGCATCTTCTCAGAAAGACAGCCTCATGTCTAGGAAGCCTTGAAAACTGGAGAGAAATCCAATGAAGTAAAATGGCAAATGCGAGAGAGAGATGGACCCCACTTCAGGTCTAACTAAGCAATAGAAATTTATTAATAATTTGGTATGTCTGCAAACGGGCTGAGACACCAAGATGGCGTGCATCAGCCTTGAGCGGCAAGTGAAGGGCTCTTTTATACCATGCGCAGCAAGCTAGCGTAATACAGAAGCCAATCACAGCAGTTAAAGCAGGGGGTTGCTAGGTGGGGGTACATATTGGTTCATAATCACAAGTACACGAGTACATTACTTCATGATCATAAGATGGTGCAGGTCATAGGGGTTTACACAATTCAGGATGGAAGTTCATGGTAACTTAGACATTAACTCATAGTTCAGGGGTACAAATTGGGTAACACTGGGGCTTAATTGGGAATCCTGGCCCTCCCTTCCTTCCCCTCATTCCCTTAAGCTTCTTCCCAGAACTCAACTTCCCCTCCCTTGTGGGGGGGCTGAAGCTAAAAGCAATTCTTTTTACAAGTACAAGAAGTTTGTTGCCTTTCTTACTAGTCCTGGGGCTTTGGGGCTGGGGGCTCGGTTATTACACCAGAGGCTCTGGAAGAGGCAGCATGAGAGTGTGGAGAGCCTCCTGCCTTGGGTCCACCCTCCCCTCCGCTGCAGCAGCCACAATGGAGCTAGCACTGGGGTGTGGGTTCCCTGGGGGAGGCACTGCCTAGGCCCTGCATTGGGTACTCCAAGGCTGGCTTTTCCAAAGGGCAGCAAGGCCGTTAGGAGTTTGGGGTGCTGAGTTGGATTGGGCTGGTCACCAACTCCCACTCTGCTTACCAGCTGGGAGGTGACAAAAGCTAGAAGAAGGAGCTCAGGCCCCACCTCAGGGCTGAGGGACTGAGGTGTGGGTGGTGGCGGCAGCAGGACTGCAGGGGTTCTGGGGTAACCCAGGCCGGGAGGTGGGACTGAGGCCTCATCCTTGGCTTTCTGGTCTAGCAGCCAGGGGAGGTTCCTCCTGGCTCAGAGAGAGGCCCAGGCCCTGGCTGCTGCCCATGACTGTGTGCCTCTGGGTGCGAACAGTCACCAGATGTGTCCAGGACTTGGTGGCTCACCTCAACTCTCTTTTTCTTTTGAGACAGAGTCTTGCTCTGTCACTAGGCAACAGTACAGTGACATGTCATCATAGCTCACTGCAGCCTCAAACTCCTGGACTCAAAAGATGCTCCTGCCTCAGCCTCCTGAGTAGCCGGGACTACAGGCTGCACCATCACAGCCTGCCAGTTTTTCTATTTTTAGTAGAGACAGGGTCTCACTCTTGCTCAGGTTGGTCTCAAACTCCTGAGCTCAAGCAATCCACCAGCCTTAGCCTCCCAGAGTGCTAGACTTATAGGCGTGAGCCATGGTGGCCAGTAGCCTCAGCTCACCTTCTAAGGCACCTTCCTCACTTTCATCTGGAATTTTCTCTGAGCTGCCTCTGGAGGCAGAGGAGGAGAACCGAGAAATAATAGCCCCAAGGACAGTGCCTAGTGGGTGTCCTGGAGGAGCCTCCCACTGCCCTGGGGCCTATGGACCTTCAGTCACTGTTGGTTCCCTTCAGCTGATGCACCCCAGCCTCCCTGTGCTTGGGGACCACTGTCTTGTCAGCCGTCATGGGCTCCATGGCTGCCCACTCCATATGCCCACTGGCAGGCAGCATCTCTACCTATTTCATACGCTGGAGATACTGGGGACAGCTGAACAGAGCCTCTGCCCAGGGGCAGCATGACCTGAAGTGTAGCAGTTACACAGGTGAGAACAGCCCTGCTCCCCACACACTAGTCAAGAGCAGGAAAAAAGAGAGGACAAAGACTCCAGGACTGGATACTCAGGGAGGGAGTCAGCCAGGGGCCCTTCGGGAGAGGGTGTGGAGTGTTGCCCTCCCAAATCAGAGAAGTTCACCCACCCTGCACACACTGAAGCCCCAGAACCATCTGGGGTCCTCTCTTCACTCTAGGGGAGAGCAGAGGGAAGACAGTCGG